CTACAGAGCACTACACACAACAACAGCACAATCTACATTCTTTTCCAGTGCACATGGAATATTTTCCAGGATAGACAATATGTTTGGACACAAAGCAAGCTTCAATAATTTTAAAAACATTGTAATACTGCAAAGCATCTTCTCAGATCACAATGCTGTAAAATTAGAAATCAACACTAGGAAGATGAATGTAAAAAAGAGCAAACACATGGAAACTGAATAACACCCTTCGTGAAAACGACTGGGTAATAGAAGAAATAAAAAATGAAATTAAAAAACTCCTTGAATCAAACGAGAATGAAAAAACAACATAGCAGAATCTTTGGGATACAGCAAATGTAGTTATCAGAGGCCAATTTATAGCAACAAGTGCACACATTAATAAAGAAGAGCCAAAATAAACACCTTAACCCAACATCTCCAATAATTAGAAAAAGAGCAGCAAGAAGAGCCTACAGTCACCAGAAGAAAAGAAATAATAAAGACTCAGGCAGAAAGAAATGAACTTTCTAATAAAGATGAGAAAAACTCAAGACTAGAACTTGGTTGTTTGAAAAGATTAATAAATCTTTATTAAAAATAAAATCTTTATAATAAATCTTCATGAATAATAATAAATTAATAAAACCAGACAAATTTAACAATGGAAAAGAGGGCAAGAAAGCAAATAACACAAATAAGAAATGAAATGCATGACACCACAACAGAATCAACAAAAATTAAAAGGATAATACCAGGGTACTACGAAGAACTATACTCCAACAAATTTGAAAATCTAGAAGAAATGGACAGATTTTTAGAAACACACTACTTACCTAAACTAACAGAGGATGAGGTGGAAAATTTAAACATACCCATAACAAAAGAAGAAATTGAACAGGTCATAAAAAAGTTACTAACAATAACAAAAAAGCCCTGGCCCAGACAGTTTCACTGGAGAATTCCACCAAACGTTCAGAGAAGAACTGACACCATTCCTACTCAAACTATTTCAGAACATAGAAAAGGATGGAATCCTCCCAAATTCATTCTATGAAGCAAGCATAACCCTGATATCAAAACCAGGCAAACATATCACTAAAAAGGAAAACTACGGACCAATATCTCTCATGAACATAGATGCAAAAATCTTCAACAAAATACTAGCTAATAGACTCCAACAACATATCAAGAAAATAATACACTGTGACCAAGTGGGCTACATACCAGGTATGCAAGGATGGTTCAACATTAGAAAAACAATCAACGTCATCCATCACATAAATGAAACAAAGGAAAAGAACCACATGATCATATCAATTGATGCAGAAAAGGCATCTGGTAAAATCCAACACTCTTTACTTATAAAAACTCTCAGCAAAATCGGAAAAGGAGGGAAATTCCTCAACATAATAAAGGGCACATATGCAAAACCAACAGCTAACATTATTCTCAATGGAGAGACACTGAAACCATTCCCCTTGCAAACAGGAACCAGACTAGGATGCCCTCTATCACCACTTCTATTCAACATTGTATTGGAAGTCCTAGCCAGTGCAATAAGGCAAGAAAGGGAAATCAAAGGCATCCATGTTGGTAAGGAAGAAGTCAAACTATCCCTATTTGCTGATGATATGATCCTATACATAGAAAATCCCAGAGACTCAGCAAAAAAACTACTGGAACTAATTAAGAGATTTAGCATAGTGGTGGTGCTAAAAGGGCAAGGAGGCTGCATCTTCTGACCTCATCTAACCACACAAGAGGAAGACAGGATCACCATCAGTAGCCGAAGGCCTATTCCTGCAAGGCCTGACATGGCACCTCCCTCCAGCCCTGACACCAACCGTTCCTCCTTCAGCACTCAGGACTTCTCTGCTGGATTCGATAATTCGCTACAGTGGTCACACAGAACTCGCAGATTATGGGGTTTATTAGGGAAGCACTAGGCTACAATTCAAGTTCAGGAACTATGCTCAGTCTCTCTCAGCCCACAGTCTCTCAGACAACAGTCTCTCTCCTAGCAGTGCATGTCTCTTGGTGTCTGTTTCTCAGCAGCACGTATCTTTCAGGAGTGTGTTTCTCTCAGCAGCACGTCTTTCGTAGCCAGCCGTCAGAGAGACTTCTTCTGCCTCTAGAAGGCCTCCTTTTGAGCCTGGCAAAGTGGCCAAACCAACCAATCATTACATTAGAATTCAAAGCACCTGAGAGAGAACTTCCCAGAACATTGCTTTGTGCCACTCTCAACAGAAATACCCCTGATGGATAACTTTAACAATCAAGAGCTCCTCAGTTGCTCACAGCAAATTCCACCATGGATGGAGTTTACAAAGACTTATGGCTAGAAAAGCCATACCAGGGAATTTACTACACCACAAGTGGGATACAAGATCAACATCCAAAAATCAGTTGGATTCCTCTACAACCAGCAAAGAGATTGCTGAAAAGGAAATAAGGCAATCAATACCATTTACAATAGCTACCAAAAAAATAAAATACTTGAGAATCAATCAGCAAAATCAACAGAAACTACCAAAATCACAAGTAAAAAACAAAGAAGGAAAAAAAAATATTGAAATCTAAACACATGGAGTAAAAATATACATACATAGATATATAAGTATGAGTTACTTAATATTCATCCAGGCAATGTCCAATGCCTTTTATGTTCATGTTCCCATTTGTCTTTCTTTTTAAAGGGAAAGCAGCTTTCCTGGCTTCATTCACCATTCCAGCAGCCATAGAAACTTTCACTCCCAGTGTATGGCAGCTTCTGTTGTGGCTCCTCCGCTACTGCCATGGGCACTGGAGGTGCTGACAAGGCCCAAGGTGATACTAGCAGCAGTGGCTGCACATGATCAGGAAACAGCAGCACCAACAGGACAGTGGCAGCCATGGCTGCTACTACCATCCACGTTCCCAACCCCTGTACACTTGGTCCCTCCAGCCATCTCTTTATGCCCCTCTGTGTGGCCCACACTTGAGACAAGTGCAAAGTCCTGATCCATCTGTAGGTGCAGCCCCCACCCAGCCCAGCTGCACACCTGACAAGTCCAGCCTCCTATATCTAGTGGATACAGCTCTTGAGCTTAGTCCAGTAGCCTTTCATAAAAGTGTTTTAATTAATTAATTAACTTAATTATGGTGAAAACATACACATCAAGATATTCACCAACATAAAAACGTCCACATTTACAGCGTGGGGACACTGATGACGTTTTCCATGTTGTGCCACCATTATTGCTATCTCTCATAAGGTTTTAATATAATAGGCTCTCCAAGGATTTAACTATGGATTGTACAGGGGCTATCTGTTATAACATGGTGTTTGCACAACATCCAAATTGCATAATGTCCTAATTCACAGAACCTATCATGGGCATTAAGCGATTCATACCTGTGTGTGGATGTGTGTTGTGTGTATGCATAGTCTATTACAAACATAAGTTCAAATATTTTGATTATCATTATTCTCTTCAGCATTTCCGATTTCACATTCAAGGTTTATACTGGTCAGAAGGGACCCTAAAAGTCCATAATCATCTATGCTCTTCCTGTGACAAAATTTGAGTCTCATTTGCTCAATTACAGAAACCATCAGTTTAGTGTCTAACACTAGCATCTAGCACAGCTTTGTATTCAGTTAATTCTTATGATGTAATAAAATACTGGTTTCATTTATAAATAGGACCTAATAGAAGAAAGCTAACAGGCAATGTAAGTGACAAGAAAAGAGTAAGCAGGAGTTTCCATGTGCAGTGGACCTGGTACTGTGACTGACCTTATCATTGCAACAAACCACAAATTCAGATGAAATATTTTTCAAAACATACTTTATAATGCTTTGATGAGTTGGAGAGTAAAGAATATGTTAGGTAGCAAAACTAAGATTAACTGATTAACTGGGAAATCAACAGAACATACTTGATAAATCAGTTCACCTTTGGTAATCTCAAAGAACAGGGAAAGCAGAGTTAACCAGGGTGAGGAGACTAGTAGGGAACCCCAAAGTAAGAAATCAGAAATAAATCTTTCATAGGAATTTTGGATTCTATTCCTTTCTTTCTTAGGAGCTCTGGTGGTCTAGTGTCTAAGGCATATGACTGCTACCCAGAAGGCTGACAGTTCAAACCTACCAGCCACTCCTCAGAGGGAAGGTTGGGCAATCTACCTCCATAGTGATACCACCTCAGAAACCCAAGGAGGGGTTGCTATGAGTTGGATCTGACTCGACAGCAGTGCGTTGCGTATTCCTTTCTTGGTTATGTGTATCACAAATTGCTAGGTACATGTGAACGTAGCATCTTATAACTCTCTTAATGGTTTATTTTGATGAACCAAACCAAAAACCAACTTATCACCATCAAGTCGATTTTGACCCACAGAGACCTCCATTGGGTTTCCAAGGCTGTAAATCTTTAAGGAAGCACACTGCTTCACCTTACTTCCACAGAGCAGCTCATGGGTTTGAACTATTGACCTTTTAATTAGCAGCCAAATGCTTTAACCACTATACCACCAGGGTTTCTTCTTTTGATGAACCAAAGTTCTTAATTTTAATGTAGCAAAATATATTAGTCTTTTTATAATCAGTGCTTTTTGTGTTTTAAGGCAGTTTACAAAAAAATCTAAATGGCTAATAAGAAAGAGTACCAATCTCATCAATAATTAACAAAATGCAAATTAAAGTCAGAATGAGGATATCTTACATCTATCCAGCTGAGTAGAACTGAAAAAAAACAAAAACAAAACAGAAACCAGTGTACAAAACCACCAAAATGAATATGAAAAAAAGAAAAAACTAAATTCTGAATTTTAAAACTTTTGTCTCAGAACTTAATTCTCATAAATTTCAAATCTACACACACATAAGGGCTATAATTCCTTTGTTCAGAGGTAGAATAATACATGGCCCTATACTACCAGTATAGTGGTACACCAGAAAAGAAAAATAAAAAAGTTAAATACATAAATCAATGTGAAAAATTTAACAAAACTATGACCATTTCAGTGTGAATTACCTTCCTGTGTTCTGACACTAGTAGTCTCAGCTGCATTTCCATTTCATTACTTGTTACTGAGGCATCTATCATGGACGCACATAAAGGTGGAAAGGGAGGAAGAGATGTTGTAGCTCCTGGAGCACACACAGATTTAATTGCTTCTTCACTCATCGGTTTCCATTTGGATTCATCATTCAAATCAAATATACAGACTTCTACTGAGTCAGAGGGCTGACAATTTCCCAAGAACATGTGATGGTTGAAAACACAACCAATTGTTCGATACGGGTACAAGGGTTTGGGCTGTTCAGCAAGTGGAGATTCATCAGGATTGACAGGTTTGTGGATGTACCTAAAAGAAATTAAATCATAATTTTATGGAATGAGAACTTAAAAATTAAGAAGGCAGCATCTTATTGAGGAAAAAAGTTATCTAACATTTAAGGCCATAACTCTTTCCTAGTGCTAGAGTTTATACTTGATTTTCCTTCGTATATCTACACAACTTAATTACTATATATTCATTGTATGGTGTACTTTATTATGAATAAAGTTGGTCAAAACAATCTCAGATAATACAATTGAAATAACTTGGTCATACATTATTAGGCACAACTAACCAAAATGATAATCAACCAAGGAGAAAGAAGACGATACCATAAGAGGGCCCAGTGCTTTTAGAAACAGTAACATTTAAAGATTAAGATGAAAGAAAACTGAAAGTAGCCAGAGCGGAAGAGTAAAATTGAAAGATGATAATATTAGGCAGGAAGCGGTAAGAAGGAAGCCAGGGCCACTGGCCAGATCCAGGTAAGGGGTGGGAAAGAGCCCACCACAGGCAGAAAGCAGCAAGCCAGTGCCAATGGCGGGATATAGGTACAGGGAAGGCCAGGAAGTGGCCATAGAGGTTTGGAACAGTTAAGGGAGATGAACATGTCTGTCAGTTTGTCGTACTTCAGTAGCTTGCATATTGCTGTGAGGCTGGGGGCTGTGCCACCAGTGTTTCAAACACCAGTAGGGTTGCCCATGGTGGACAAGTTTAACCAGAGCTTCCAGACTAGGAGATTCGGAAGAAGGGAAAGGCCATCGGTTTCTCAAAGAATTTGCCAGAGAAAACCTTATGAATAGCCCTGACACATGATCCAATACAGTGCCAGAAGATGAGCCCCTCAGGTCAGAAGGCATTCAAAATATGACTGGGAAAGAGTTGCCTCATCAGAGTAAAACTGGCCTTCATGATACAGATAAAGTACAGCTTTCAGGACCTCCATTTGCTGATGTGGCATGACTCAAAATGAGGAGAAACAGCCGCAAACATTCACTAATACCAGGAACACGGAATGTACAAAGTATGAATCTAAGAAAATTGAAAGTTGTCAAAAATGAAATGGAATATATAAAGATTGGTATCCTAGGCATCAGTGAGCTAAAATGGACTGGTTTGGGCCATTTTGAATCAGACAACCATAAGATCTACTATGTCAGGAATGACAAATTGAAGAGGAATGGCAATGGCATTCATTATCACAAAGAATGTATTTATCAAGATCTATCCTGAAGTACAATGCTGTCAGTGATAGGATAATTTCTATATGTGTACAAGGAAGGAGAGTTAATGCTACTATTATTCAAATTTACATAACAACAACTACAGCCAAAGACGATGAAATTAAAGATTTTTACAAACTTCTGCAGTCTGAAATTGACCAAACATGCAATCAAGTTGTACTGATTATTACCGATGACTGGAATGCAAAAGTTGGAAACTAAGAATCATCAGTAGTTAAAAATATGGCTTTGGTGATAGAAATGATGCTGGAGATCACATGATAGAATTTTGCAAGACGAATGATTTATTCGTTGCAAATACCTTTTTCCAACAACACAAAAGGCAGCTGTACATGTAGACTTTGCCAGATGGGGTACGCAGGAATCAGAATGACTACATCTGTGGCAAGAAGCGATGGAAAAGCTCAGTATCTTCAGTAAAAACAAGGTCACGAGCTGACTGTAGAACAGACAATCAACTGCTCATATGCAAGTTCAAGTTGAAGTTCAAGACAATTAAAACAAGTTGACCAGAGCCAAATGAATACCTCCTGAATTTAGAGACCATCTAAAGAACAGATTTGATACAATGAATACCACTGACTGAAAAACAAAGGGAATGACATCAAGAACATCATCCATGAAGAAAGCAAGATGCCATTAAAAAGAAAGGAAAGGGGAGTTCTGGTAAGATGGCGGAATAGGCAGAAAGACTGCACAGACCCTCTTCAACAAAGAAAAGGGGAAACAATTAACATAGATACAGAAGATAATCCTGGACCACTGAGCCTTAAAGCGAAGGATAAAGAAGTGGACTAAACTCCATCTAGTAGAAGAATTTGCATGTAAATACCAAAAATGGAGACATACAGAGCTGTGGTCTGGCAGCGATCCTGACGTCATAGACAGCTCAGATATTGCCGAGTGGTGGTAGGATCTAAGAATTAACCTAAAAATTAGCCCTGCTAGCCAGGGACTGCACAGAGGGCTGCTCTGGTGGCTGGGGAATAAAAGGGTAAGCAGCGAAGAGGATGGCAGGCTGAGCTGTAGACTTTTGTCTGTACAGAGGGTGCAACCATTTTGAATATTTACAAGCAGCTTGACCATTTTGGATATTTAAAGTGACAGCGTTATCCCAGAGTGCAGGGGCTTAAGAACAGGTTCCACTTGCCAGTAACCACAAGGATATTCCGGACCCGGATGACTGGAAAGGTGTGACATTCCCTGTGTTACTCTTATACCCCACACCCGCTTGGTAAAAAGAGGTGCGGCCACCCGCCACTCCCACCCACCTTCTGGGTCCACAGGAGTTCCATCCCAGACTGTGTGCTCTGACGGAGCCTGGATGCCCTGCCCTTCCCTCCACCAATTTTTTGAGTTTTTTCCTTTTTTCCATTTTCTAGTTTGCCTGTTTTTGTCTGTTTTAAAACTACTACTATTATTATTAGGAGCTCTGGTAGCGTAATGCCTAAGGCACTTGACTGCTAACCAGAAGATTTGTGGTTCAAACCCACAAACCACTCCTCGGAAGGAAGGTTGGGCAATCTACTTCTGTAGTTATATCGCCTTGGAAACACAAGGAGGGGTCACTATGAGTTGGGGCCGACTCAACCACATATAACAACAATGATAACTATTATTATTATGATGATGATGATTACTTTTGCCCTTTTTACTATTATTCTTTATTCTTTCCCTCCCAGGTCCTAGTTTTCAGCTTTTTTTATTTTCCCTGTTCCTAGTTGCAATTTACTTTCTTTGTCTTGTTTAACACTGTTTCTCGTTTTTCTTTTTCCATATCTTCCATTTTTTTCTTCATTATCCTCCTTCTCTACCTTTTTTCTCTTATTGCCCTATCTCTAGATAGCACAGCTTTTTTTTTTCTTCTTTTTCCCTTTTTTCTTTTTTTGGTTACTGTTCCTATGTAATTACTGGTATGGTTTTTATCCATGTGCTTTTACTTTTTTGATGGTTATTCAATTGTTCTTTTTGTCTAAAGGAGAGGAAGACAGCAACAGTCCCCATAAGACAGAACTACACTAACACCTCCTCCAAATTCACTTACCGACTGACAGCCATGTCCTCCTTCTCCACCAATGGGCCAACGATAAAAAGCAACCAAAAAAAGCCTGAATCACCCTTGACTACTCTTAAGAAACAGTTAACAGAGATCTAAATACAACAACGTCACCATGTCTTAGAGACAACAGACCATCACAATCCACACAAAGAAACAAGATAAAGTGGTAGAAACAAGGGAGCAGGCTACAGATACAGAACACATCCCTGAGGAAGAAGCAGAACTGGAAGTCTCTGGTAAGGAACTCAAAAGAATTATATTTAGGTATCTTCAAAGGATTGAGAGACAGATCAAGGAAAACACACACAAAAACCTAGAAGAATTCTGGAAGAAAATACAAGAACAAAATGAAAAAATAAGTGAAAATTTAGAAATGATTCTAAATCTACAGATAGAAATCCAGAAGACTGGTACTAAATTGTCAGAAATAGATAACAAATTGAAAGGGCAAAGGAGTAGAATTGATCCAATGGAAGACAGAATTAATGACATTGAAGACATATACCTGAATACTTCTTTGGAAAGGGATCAATCAGAAAATAACAAAATAAAGAAAGCCTAAGGTTCATGTGGGATACCATCAAAAGGAATAACATACATGTCATTGGAATTCCAGAAAAGGAAGAAAAAAATCAAACCACCGAGAAAATTATCCAAGATTTGTTGGAGGAGAACTTCCCTGATATGATGAAAGATGAGAATATATCCATTCAGGAAGTCCAACAAACCCCAAACAGGATAGACCCCAAAAGAAAATCACCAAGACATATCATCATCAAACTCATCAAAACCAAAGACAAGGAATCCTGAAAGCAGCACGGGAAAAAACAAATAGTTACCTACAAAGGACAGCCAGAAAGAATAAGCTCTGAATTCTCAGCAAAAACAATGCAAGTGAGAAGGCAATGGGATGGTATATATAAAACCCTGAAAGAGAAAAATTTTCAAACAATAAGTATATACCCGGTAAAATTGTCACTCAAATATGATGGTGAAATTAGAAGATTTTCAAATAAGCAGAAATTAAAGGGAATTTGTTAAAACCAGACCAACTTTACAAGAGATTATAAATGGAGTCCTTTGAACGGAGAACCAAAAATAGCAAATAACAAGCAACCACTGATTCAAAAGGTGACGTAACACAGAAAATACAGCTATGGACATATCCAAAGTAAAATCAGCTTACAAGATTTTAAACAGGAAACCAGAGACATCAACTGGCAAGTGAGGACAACTACAAACAAAAAGAGGGAAAAGACTGTGTATAGTTACAGAACTTCTAAATGGTGAGGAAGTCAAGAGAGTTTGCAAGACAGAAATGGACTGTTCTAATCTCGGGGAGAAAATTATAAATCATAGGGTAACCTCAAAGAAAAGTGATAAATCTTCACTTTTGTCTTCTTCAATAAAAAAGAGGACAAGCACAAATATTCAACAAATAGTAAAACAACAGCACCAAAGGATATGATAACACGATACATAAACACAATGAGCTCAGCACACAAAATAATATGGAACAAAGAAACCAGTGACCATGAAACAACACATAACAAAATGACAGCAACAAATTCATACTTGTCAATAATTACATTGAATGCTAATGGCTTAAATGCACCTCTCAAGTGACACAGAGTTGCAGATTGGATAAGAAAATAAAACCCATCAATATGCTGCCTACAAGAGACACACCTTAGAGA